ATAATAACTGCCCTTTCTCATAATTTAGAAAACTTATCTTGTATTAGAACATCATCACCTACAACAAATTCTACGGATTTTAGACAATGTTAATCATAGTATGTTATGTGCCATTTTATCACATACTTTGGGATCAAAAACAACATGAGGTAGCAGGCAGCTATCTTTTACAGGCAGTTTTGTTCTAAGGTTCCTACTTTCAGGAGCTGTGAGGTATATAACTTAATCCTGCAACAGGTGAATTTCTATAATTGAGTAAATACAAATCCAAGTCACCATTTTCATAATGACATTTTTTTAACATAGATTTCATCAAACCAACACACGTTTCTGCAAGACCATTACTTTTGGGACTTACGACTTGGGACTTGGGGGACTAGAAGTGTTAATGACAGAGTTCCATTGATCAGAAAATGTTTTAAATTCAAAAGAGCCAAACAGATTATTGTCCGCTACTATGATCTTAGCAAAAATGGGTTGGAGACATTTTATTATTGATGAAGAAGATTTGTCATTGATTCTCTCTAACTCAATCCATCGGGAATAGTAGTCAATCAGGACTAAGTAATAGATATTCTGATACTCTAAAATATCCAAGCAATTTTATAGAAAGGGATGGGTGGAATTACATGAGGAAGCAAAGGTTCTTTGATCTTAGACCTTTGAAATCTTTGGCAAATATTACAAGAACTTACAAAATTTGTGACATCAGACAGAATGCCAGGCCAATAAAAAAAAAATTGTTTACCTTGTCTTAGACTTTATTGAGGCTAAGATGAGTCTCATGAAGCAGACCCAATATTCGTTTCCTACACAGAGGGGGGACAACCAGCCTTTCATCATAATAAATCAGAACGTTATCTACTGTAATATTATTTCTTATTTTAAAATAATGGCTTAGTTCACCAGTGCATTTTAAAAAGAGGGTCAGGGGCGGGGTGGCCGAATGGGCTAAAGCATGTGCACAGCACTGCGAGTTGCCTGGCAACTGGATAAACAGATTTGAGAAAATTTAAAAAAAGTACGAGTTCACGTCTCGGTGCCGGAGGGGATTTTAAATTCCCTGGCCCGGGAAAATCCCGTATAGCCTAAAAGGCGAGATAGGGAAAACAAAAAAAAAAGTGCATTTTTAAGAATTGGGCCATCCAGTGTTAAAAAATTTCATAACTTGATTCAATTTTGGATCTGAGTCAGATTCAGCTTTTGCAAGCTGAGGTTTAGAACAATCAAATAATGCAGCTACTGTATGTATGAAATCTCTCATCGACATATCATCTGCAATATTTCCAGCGATAATATTTCTTGACAGTAAATAAGCCATTGACTTTCCTGGAAGTTATTTTAGATAAATTTATACAGCATTATCTTTAATCTAAGCCGTTTAAGCAGATTATTTTCCATTTTATTTAAATCGTTTTGTATGATAGATGTTAGAGGAGCATGATCGGTGTAAACACCAACGTTAGGGTGGCCATGGTCATATACATAGTTGTGGAGTTTTGTGAATACGAATGTTATGGCAAGCAATTCTTTTTCAATCTATTCATATTCTTGTTCGCATGGGGTCAGAGTTCTGCTTGCATACATAACAGGCTTTCCTTTTTGTATCAAAAATCAACCAACAGCATGATTACTGGAATCAGCTTGTATCTCAACTTTCTTATCAGCGTCAAAAGAAGCAAGCAGAGTTATATCTGAGATAACAGCTTTAAGTTTATCAAAAGTCTTTTCCTGACTTTCAGTCCATAACCAAACAGGGTCTTTTTTTAGCAAGGCTGTAAGTGGGGCAATAAAGTCATAGAGATTGAGTATGAAGTTTCTTAAGAAATTGACCATTCCTAAAATCTTTTGTAGCTCCTTTACATTTTTTGGTGGGTTCAAGTTCAAAATTGACTGGACTCTTTGTGGGTCAGGTTTATGGCCATCTTTGTTAAATAAAACCCTCAGATATTTAACCTCATTTACAAAGTATTGTATTTTATCAGAATTGAATTTAATGTTATATTTTCTTGCTACAGAGACAACTTCTTCAACTGTTTTTATAAGATCCTAGACAGAGTCAGCACAACACAGTGCATCATCAAAATATACAATTACGTTATTCAGCTGACCAAAGTATTTATAACTTCACTTTTGAAAATATTCAGGTAAAACTGGCAAACCAAAAGGGGCTCTTAAATACCTAAATACACCAAATGGTGTACTAAAACTGCAAATCTTACTAGACTCCTCATCAAGCCGAATTTGATGAAACCCATGCTTTAAATCAAAAAGACAGAAATGACTTTTTTTTTGCAAGTTTTAAACTTATCTCCTCCAAAGTTAGAATTTCATAGTATTTTCTAATAAAATACTTACTTAAATGTTACTGAAGTGACTTTAAACAAGGCATACAATAGGCCTACATGGCCATAGTGCACTTATGCAGCAAAAAAAAATTTTAATGTTGAGGATCAATACATAACCGTAATGAAGAGTCAGGTTTTTCAATGACAAGATTATTTATCCTATCCACTCACAGGGCTCATCAACTCGCTCTATTATTTCGGCCTGCAATCATTTATTCAAACAGGTTTTTAATTTATTTTTTATTTTAAATGGCACTCTACGACCAGAATGTGCCTTGGGAGTGGGATCAATAGAGAGTTTCAACTTACAAACATCAGAGAAGCAACCAAGGCCATTAAAGATATCTTGATTCTGTTTGATAAAATCATCTTCTGACACAGTAATAGAGTTGATCCGTTGAATGAGACCAAGATTAACACAAGACTGAAGTCTGAGGAGTGAATTTCTCTCATCGTCTACAATCATAAATTGGGCTTAATGAAAATCATATTTTCAGGCTTCCATTCCCAATGTCTAGGTGAACACAGCCAATAGGCTGTACAATAAATCCACCAAAAGATTCAAGTAGTATATTTGTTTTGGTGATAGGTTCCTCAGCCCTGACCATCCATAATACTCTGGGAGTTATAACATTTACCTGGGATCCTGAGTCTAGTTTGAATTCAACGAGTTGGTCATTAATTTGTAGTTCTGCCAGGCAATAATTTTTTTTCTGCGCTATAGCATCACATGGACACACTTCTAAAGAATCCAATTTGAAGATGTCGCTAGTCACATTTATTTCATTAGTTTGCTTTTTCTGGTATCCTTGTGTGCATTACTTAGAGAAATGGTTTAGCCTATGACACAAGGAGCACTTCTTGCCATATGCAGGGCATCTTCCTTTACTGTGCTTGTACCCACAGTGCTCACATTCATATTCATCACCATCATCTGTTAGAAGTTTTTCTTGGGCACCTTTGTCACTGAGTCCGAGAATTATTTGGGTTCTCAGTAGTTTATCTTCTTGTTCACCAAATTCACATGGTGCTATTAGTGACTTAAGATCAGTGAAAAATCTCTCAAATGGATCACCTGTTGCTTACTTTCTGTTGAAAAACTTATGTATTACCATAGTTTCATTCTTTTTTGGAGTACAATGTTCATGTAATACCTCTAACACAGTAAGAATGGTTTCTTGAGCGGGCGCTAGGTTTGTTAGTGTTTTGTATAGTTTCAATCCACCTGATCCCAAAAGATTCTTTAGTCTAGCCACTTGGGCTTCTCGAGGTTTTTTGTCGGTTTCGGTGGCTATAAAGTATATCTCCAACTCAATCCAGAATCTTTTGAAGTTCTCCGACAGGTTGTCAGCATTTACATCAAACTCTGAGGGTTTGTTGAACTCCATTGTTACTAAATTTTTTTTACTGCGACCGATAGGAAAACTGAAATTAAAATGGTTCTACGACCACTGCGCCATGTTTAAATTATTTTCACTCATAGGTATCACAAATGTTCACTTTATGTACATAACAACAATAACGTCATCCCCAAACACCTGTGTGTCAATAAAACTACTAAGGTAGTCTACTACCTTAGTAGTTTTATTGACCTTGTTCTATAACAATGGATTCTATTATTGTTACCAACCAAAGAGATATTAACTTAATACAAGCCAAAGAGATAACCTAACAATAGGTACCACAGAGCTATCCATAAATTGTGTGGAAGCCACCATAAGAGTAGAAAACAGAATAGATTTCAATAAACTGTATCACTATTTCTGCCGATGTCTTAAATTAGGAAATTTATTATTAGACTGAGAAGATATAGCAGAAGAAGAACCCTAGGGAAGTTTCAAAGCAGGAAAATTTTGTTTCACTGTATTATTCTGTTCCATTGTATTATTATTTGTATTGAATTAGCAAATATGTTTATATTATTTCATTGTATTATTTATTGTACTGTATTGGGACTGAAAGCATAATTATACACACATATTTATATTTTATCAATGAAGATGTATCTTCAACAGAAGTTTAAAATGTTAATTTAATAAGTATAAATTGTTAATTTAGTCAACTCCTTGCTATAAAGTTTTATATTTTTGAGCAATAAAATTATTATTACTATCATTAAATAAAAATTCATAAAAATCAAACATTCATTTTCCATTTAGCTCATCACTTAATAGTTGGAAAATCGTTTGAACATTGAAAACCAATTCATAAAATTTAAGAACAGCAAATGAAAACTATGAAAATTTTTTATACCTTTTTCCTTTTAGACTACTACTAAAGTCAAAAAATCATTTGAACCATGAAAAACCATTCACAGTTTCTTGAGATTTTAGAGAAAAAATATAGGAAAAGTCGAAACATTTTCACAGAATGGTTAAATGAAGTTTAAAGTTCAATTATTCCATTTTTTCTTTGAAAACTCAAAGAAGTCATAAAAAATATAACAGATAAATTCATTTTAGTTGTTATTTAAAAAATAAATTATTCTTTATTTAATAGTTAAAAACAAGATGTCATTCAAAGAAATATGGCTAAATTATTTGATATATTATAAAATAAACTCTCATTATTTTATCTTATTCCCAGAATCAATAAATTTGATTTTTCATTTGTATTTAAACATATTAAAATGGTAAAAATAAAATTACTTACTGGCAGTATAAAATAAAAGGGCCTAGCACTCCCATAAGGCCCAGGATTAATGTTTAGAAAGTAAAAAAATATTAGTAATGCAACAGCTGAACCGAAGATCACCAGAAGAGAAATAACCAGGAGTGGGATATCGTTATAGTCGGTAGTTGATATTAGACTCTTTAATGTAACTCCGCCACCTGAAATTACCTACGTTAGTCATAATTTTGCATTACTCTTATAACTAAAACCTAAAAAGCAATAGAACATGAAATTATTAGATAAAAGAGGGTAATTATCAGTGAATTAAGATCCGTCATAAGCAACATCACAGAAACTAAAGCCCCACACTAAATAAACTTAACAGAAATAATAATTATACCATTACTAACTCATATGAAATGAAAAAAAAAAAACTAAGATAATACAATAGTAAAAGAAGAAAACCTAGTAGAAATAATACAATTAATAGAAACTAATTAAAAATAATAATAAAAAAAAAATTAAATCTCCGGATACTATGATCATTCTATTCCAGTTCCTTGAGTTGTCTACTGTTCTCTGCAGGTTTCATAAAACTGGTATTTATCTACAGTGGCAGAATCTTCGGTAGGGGCACAGACCTGTATCATGGCAACTTTTCCGATGGAGAACACAATGTCCATAGTGATAATCCTAGATGAAATGGGTTCCCATGCTTCTACTCTATCAAATAATTCGTCCTTCAGGATAAACCCAACACCTTCTTTGGCTCTTTGTCCTATATTAACTTCTGAATATATCATACTATACTCCTCTGGGAGTATCCGGAGATTTAAATGCAAGAACAGGTCAGGATCATCAAGCAGCGTTCGGAACGATGGGTATATGGGGAGGTGAAGATTACATCAATAACAATGGAATCAGGCTAATTGAGTTCTGCATAGAAAATAATATGCTAATTGGAAACTCATGGTATAACCATAAGACAATCCATAAAATCACATTTGAAAGAGGTAATGGAAGAGCTACCAGAAATAGCATCATTGATTATTTTATCATCGATAGGGAACTCAGACAGTACTTCACAGACATTGAAGTTATACGAGGAGCAGAATTGAATACGGATCACAGGCTATTGGTTGCTGACTCCAAGATACTAAAACCACGAAAAAAGATCGCCAAATCATATAATAGGATAGCTGTCAACAAGCTAAGAGAAGAGTAAAAGAGCTGGCTTATACAAGTAGCCTTTAAATCCAACTCCAAGAAGTTAATGGGGATGCAGATGTTGACACTTTGGACGCAAATCAAATTTAGTATACTCAAGACAGCTGAGGAAGTATGTGGTTTACAGCAAATAAGACCTACTACTAAGAAAACTAGATGGTGGAGCGAGGATGGGAAACGAGTCATAACTGCAAAGAAAGAGGCCTGGAAACAGTACTGTAGAAGCAAGTCGCCAGGAGATTGGGCATTGTACGTAGAGAAAAGGAACCAGTCTAAGTGAATAGTTAAGGAAGAGAAGAGAAAATCTTGGGAGGAATTCGGGCTAGAACTGGATAAAAACTACAAAGAAAATATAAGGAAATTCTGGCACATCACAAGAGCATTAAGGAACAAAAATGCAAAGCCTGTGAGAAGTGTAAAGGATGAGCATGGCATGCTGGTGACAGAAGACAGGGACATATTGGTGGTTTGGAGGAAATACTTCCAAGAAAAATTCAGAATGGAAGAAAGGCAACAAAATTTTAGAGATTGCCGTAGAAGATGTAGAAGAGCTGAACCAGAAGTCCCCAAGATGGATGACACCATAGAAGAGGAGGAAGTCGAAGCAGCCATTGCTAAAGTAAAGATGAGAAAAGCAGCTGGGCCAGATGGGATTGCACCCGAATTCATAAAATATGGAGGAAATGAGTTGGTCAAGTGTCTCCAAACACTATTCCAAAAGATACCCATAGAATGGGAAAACAACATCATTATCCCAATCCATAAGAAGAGAAGCCAAAGTGGATGCGATAATTACCGACCCATACGTCTGTCATCGGTGGTAAACAAAGTATACACTAGAGTCCTGGAACAAAGATTAAGGAACTTGGTGGAAGAAGATCTGGAAGAGGAACAGTCATGTTATAGACCCGGCAGGCAGACACAAGATCATATCTTCTCTCTGAGAATGATTGTAGAGAAGGCATGGGATAGAGATAAAGCAGTATACCTAGCTTTCCTAGATTTACGGGCGGCTTTCGACAATGTTCCTAGACAGGAAATATGGGATGCAATGCAAGATAGGAGAATCCCACAAAATCTTATTAGTGCAATTAAGTCAGTGTACCAAGACCGTAAGGGAGTAATAAGACTAGCCGGCACTGAGTCTAGGTCATTCCACTTCTTTAGGGGAGTTAAACAGGGCGATAGCCTAAGCCCCCTACTATTCAAAATTTTTATGGATGCCATTTGGAAATTTTGTAAAAGGAGGACACCCAGAGCAATAGTAGGATACTGGAATATGACACCAGTGTAGACACAGGTATTGTTGTATGCAGATGATTTGGTATTGGTTGCAGATACTGCTGAATCGCTCCAAGTAGCTGTGAATGAGTGGCAAGAAGAACTGCAACTCAGAAGCATGTAGATCAATCCCTCCAAAAGCAGGGTCATGTGTGTTGGACGAAGGAGCGAGGATCTTAGAATCACTTGCAATGGAGAGACCCTTGAGCAAACCGATACCTACTACTACCTGAGAACAATGATTGACAGGGATAGAAGAATAGACCAGGAGGTCATGAATAGAGTCCAAAAGGCCAATGGAATATACTACCAAATATCCATGACACTCATTGGAAAGTTGAGCAGAAAAGCGAAGATTCTGTTATTCAAATCAGTTTTTCTCCCAGTGCTGCTATACGGATCGGAGAGGTGGACACTCTTGGACCACCATGCCAGCAAGATTGTGTCTGCAGAAATGAGATTCCTATGGAAAATATTGGGAAAAACCAGGTGAGATCAAATAAGGAATGAAAGGGTGCGAGATGAACTAGGAGTTAGATCCGTGCTAGAGACGATTGAAGAAAGACAGTTGAAGTGGTATGGTCATGTCAATAGAATAGGAGATGACCGTAAGGACAGGTGGCTTTTAGAAGCAAGACCGGGAGGAAGGCGACCTCAAGGAAGGGCACGGCTTATGTCTGTAGACTTGATAGAGAGAATTGGCGCAGCGAGAGGAAGCACCATATATATATATATTTATATATATATATAAATATATATATATATATATATATATATATATATATATACATATATGTATATATATATATATTGTTGCCGAAACAACAATATATACCTCAAAATTCTCAACCCCACCCTCAACATCCTACTACTCAAACTTAAGCTAATCCTAAACAATTTTATCAACACCATATTCCTCACATTCCTCCTCCTCCATCAAATAGCACAGATTTCACCAGTTTACTTACATCTTTTCTCTCTGAATTCAGATCCTTTGTTACTCCCTTCATATTCCTTCTCACCAATTTATCCAATCTATTTAATATCGCATTTTATCCCTCTCCCAAAATAACCTTAAATGATTCCCAATAAACCTATATCCATTCTCCTTTGGAATGCGAATGGTGTTAGGAATCATATAGACGAACTGTATGCATTATTACTTGACAAGAGCATTGACGTGGTAGTAATTATTAAAACTCGACTAACCACTAAACAGCACATCAAAATACCACAATACCTGACAAATTGTACTGACCACCATGACGGAAGAGCACATGCTGGTACTGCTATCATTGTACACCAATCAATCTCCCATCACCTACTCCCATTACCTACAGTCCACTGCTATCTTAATAAAAAACATTCTCCTTTCCGGTTTTCAACTCTCCTACCTATTGGCCCACAGATCCTAACTGTAATCCTGATATTCTTGATTTATTTATCCACAGCGGCTTAAGTCCCATAAATTGTTCCATTACACATCTAAATGAATTCCTCTGACCATAGTCCTCTAATTCTTAATGTTTCACTTGAACCCGTTCCCAAACCTTCTCCACCGTCATTTATTAGGAGCCCTGTTTAGGCAACTTATTTAATTAAGGCAAATAACTCTCATTGGATTGGTAAGTTATAATGATTGTGCAAAAATAGCTTACCGTCTTTATGCCAGCTTACAACTTTTGGTTACCTGGAGGGTGGAGGGCCCTCAGGTGCGGGTGGTGGTGCGACCAGGGTGGCTGCAAGTGAAGAAGTGACCAGAGAAAAGCAGCAGGTCTTGGGGATTAAGTATTATCTTTTAGATCCTCTGATCTGCCCCCACCACTAACCGTAACACAGGGAATTCAAATCATTTTACACAAACATATTCCCCACCGTGAAATATCTCATTTCATAAACAAAAAAGAAAAAAAAAGTCAGAGATTAGTGATTAACAGGCAAGGCACAAATGAGAGGAAAATTGCTTGGTTTACAATAAGAAATGGAGAAATTAGGCTAATAATTTACAATTAATTTAAAATAAAATGACTCCTAATTAAATTTAAACAAAAGACATATTCGTATCAATAAAAGGTTTCTCCAGAAGGGAGAGGCACTAATTAAATTAATTTGTGAGCCAAATCTATCACCATTCTGCATGAATACCACTGACCTGAACTTGAACAAATTCTACCTAACGCAGTACCCAGATGTATCTGTGAGATGGTGGTAACATGGCAGGAAACTGCACCAGAATTGTTTGTTACTTGAGACTGTGACGGCTCAGTGTTTGCACAAGGTGTCCAGCGATTCTCCTTCCAAAAAATTCCCGCACATTTCCCGTTTTTTTCTAATTTTCCCCGGTTTTTCAGATTTTCGCCGTTTTTTTCTCAGTATTTCTAGTTTTTTTTAAATTTTGGAATGGATGTATTCGGTTTTGAAACCAAACGCCTCAAATAAACAATAATGAGTACAGCTGCCTATAGTGTCACGTAAGCTCTTATCGAAACCTTTTACACTTTTTACACTCTTACATGTTACACTTTTTATTTTATTTTATGAAAAGTATATTCGAGTAATGGTCTGTACATATATATGGGAGTTCTGAAAACGTAAAATATATAAATTTATTATTATTTTTTTTTTAAAGAGCCACTTTATATCAAATAGGTTTTGTATTTAAATACAGATTGTTTCCTTACTTTCACTTCCGAAGAGGGTAGACAATTAA